CACACAAATCCACAGCATCAGCTGTCACTTCTCCCGGTCAGGTATTATATATATACAACATCATACACAAAAGAGTGTGGAGGTTGGTGGCGGGTATCTACTGCTTTGTTTTCTCACTGGCTTTTCATAATAGAGGTACTCTGAGCCCTCAAGAGGATACCCAGTTTGTCCATTTATCTACTTTTGCTTTTCATGGTTTAAGTAATGATTTAGGAACCTGTATCAGCCCACAGCTGCCACCAGCACCACACAAGCTAAAGGCAGGAATGGGCACGGAGGCTGTGGCTGAGGGCCCAGTCTGTGCACATCTTCAGCCAAAGAGGTGGAAGTGTTGCAGGGGCCAGGAAGGATCCCTCAACAAGCGCCCTGATGGCAGCCTCTTCACTTCCGCCTCGGGCACACAAAGTCCCCTCCTTCCTGGCTAAGCCATTAGCATGCAAAGCACCCGGCAGGGTATCACAGTCATGTCTGTGAAAGGCGCTCTGCATCACAGTGCAGAGAGGAAGCATCTAGAGGCAGGTTCTGGGCCCACTGCGTCCTTCTCACCTGATTAAGGCTATGCCCCTGGGAAACCATGAGGATTCACAAACTAATCCTACACTGAGAGCAATGCCTAGCAAACAGCACACATTTGATAAAGGCAACTCGTATCTAACTCTCACTTTTGGAGCAGGGCATGAACCTGAGCTAACAGTACCCAAAAAGGCACAACAAAAAGTCAGCAATGAAAGAAGTAGAAACCACTGCTCAGGAGGAGTAAGGGACATGGGCCAAATGAATGTCCCAAAATTAGACTGAAGATGTGCACTGCGGCCAGGCATACTGGCACACACCTGTAATCCCAGCACTCTGGAAGGTTGAGGCAGGAAGATTACAAGTTCGAGCCTATCCTGGGCAATTTAGGGGGTTAGCAAGACCCTTTCTCAAAATTTAAAACTAAAAAAAGGGCTGGAATGTAGCCCCTGTGAAGGCCCTGGGCTCAATCTCTGGTGTTGAGAAATGAGTGTGTATTAGGGGGTGCCCTTGTGGCAGCAGGCAGAGGAGACAGCTGTGGAGAAGCCATGAGTGGGAGTGGGCTGAGGAGGGAAGGGGGTGGGTCTAGGGAAGACCTTCCCCAAGAATGTATCTGCTCACTAAGATACTTATTTTGTCTCTTACTGGAGCTACCATATCTGTAGCATGAAGAAAACAAGAAGCCTGAGTACTGTTTCCTTCACTGGTCTGGCTGTTTGCCCAATGACTCCTATCGGTGGTTGTGAGCAGTTTGGAGATCCCCGTATGATCAGCACTGCTCCTCGAGAGCCTGCAGGTCTAAGGGAAGACAGGTAAGTGCTCTGAGCTCCCACACAGCTGCCAGGCAGGGAGCAGCACAGGCGCAAGCACTATGTGAAGCCTCCAACTTGGCCCAAGTTCATAAAGCTTAGCTGCCTGGGTTTCAGGTTCCCTTTGGACACAGAGTAGAGGTGCCAACTGCACCAGGAAGAGGCAGAGACCCAGGGCTGGTTACACAAACAGGGAAAAGCTTCCCCTCTCACCCTGAGGCTCAGGAGCAGCCTCGACATTCACTTCCAGTGGCTGTCGGAGGGAGGCCGGGGAGATGGCAACAGGACACAGGTGCCCTAGGGCCACACTCCTGAGCTGGCGCACACCATCCCAGACAGGCATCCCAGGTGACGGGGAAGAGGGGTCACTTCCCCATCTCCACCCACCCCCTCGAACTTGGCTCTAGCTCCATAAAACCTCAGATCATAGTATTATTTGAATAATCAATTATAACAAGCAAAGGCATTGCATATCTCAGCCTTCAGGTTACAAATACAGTCAGTCCTCTGTCTACCATCAGCAAAATAAATGCCTGCCAACAAAACATACTTGATTTTCTCACATGCTGGCCCCTCTCAGGTTCACTTTTGTTAACTGTTTGATGAAATAAAGGACAGCCCACTGATACTCTCAGATTTCAAATGAGAAACTGAATGTGTCCCTGGAGGGGGCCACAGGTTCCTGAATGATGGCCTCTCAACTCACAGCAAGTAAAGGACCAGGAGCTACCTGCCAGCTCCTGATGGGCTCTAGGCCATGAGAACAGGTCAGGGAGGGAGGTGCAACCATCCTCATGGAGCAACAAGGAGGCTGCTCCAAGGAACAGGGGAGCTGCCTGTGGGCAGCTCTGAGCAACCCAAGGGCAGGAAGCCAAGTCTAGGATGTCTGGAGACCACGGAGATAGAGCCTCCCTCTGTCCACAGGAGGAGCCCCAGTCCTGACACTGGGCAGAAGACAGGAAACCAAGGAGTAAAGAAAGTGGGACAGGGAAGACCCCAAGGGAAGCCAGAATCAGAAGGACAGGTTGTGGGGGAGGGCAGCGGACTATCACCCCAAGCCAGCTCAAGACCAAAACCCTGGGTGCATGTGACAGTCTCACCATGGCGAGTCCCAAGAGTCATGGCCAAGAAACCCTGAAAGTCCACTTCCAACAAGAAGGGCAGGGCCACAAGGTAGGGCAAGGCTGGCCCAGAACTCTCCCCCAAGTCATCCCTAACTTCTGACAAACAGTGAGGATAAAGTGTGAGGTGTTCACAGACACCATGCCTCTACTCGGCTACACAGGGGTAAGGGAAGCCACAGCCACCTGCCACCAACTCTTGGTGTCCTGGGTCACTGTCTGAAAACAGCCTCACACTGTGGGCCACCTGAGGCCCTGAGCAGATCCCTGGACCAGCACCATGAGAGGCAGAGTATCCCTGCCAGGCCACACCCCAAGTACCCTGCTCCAACTGCTCCCAGCACCTTCTCTTCCTGCCCATGTTCCTCCAGACACAGGCCCAGGAAAAACAGTCAAAGTGTAACCACCATGTTTCTCCATGAGGTCAAAAAGGTGGCTGACCTTCCCTCTTCAAAGATGGTTTGTGAAAGAGACTTTGTGTAAAGTCATCAGATCTGCAGCAGATATTCAAGTCTCTTGATGGGAAGTGCCATCACAACACTCCTGGGTACTGTAGTGACCTGAACACAAATGGCTGTTGAACCTCACTGAAAACAACAGAAAAAACATTTTTCCTTTCTGAGCCCCAAGCCCAAGGTCAGGGTCACAGAGGATGGGGAGGGCAGCTATGGGAAAGGCAGCCATAAGAAAGGCACAGGAGCCAGGAAGCACACAGACCCGTGGGGAGAAGCCCCAACTCTCCTGGATCAACACAGTCCCAGAAAGGCCACAGTCCATGACACTAAGAATCCTGGTTCCTTCAATGTCAATGAGGAAGTGTCACCCCTGGGAGAAAGTCCCTGAATATGGCACCCTGAAAACAGGAAAGCTCATGGGACAGGAAAATGTAGGCCCAACACCTACCCAGCCCCCAAGACTCTGTCACTAAAGTCTTCAGCAAGGTAAGAGGAAGTTATCAAGAAAGGATTTCATAAGGAAGAAGCAGGGAGGTGAGAATCTGCAGACAGGAAACCAGGTCACAATCACAGGCCACCCTACAACAAATGACACAAAGCATGCAGAAAACACCACACCCAGAGTCTTAGGCAGGAAACCAGGCTTGCTGAGGGATTCTGTAACCAACCCTTTGGCTCAGCCTTCACTGAGAGGAGCTCTCACCTTGGAAGGGAGAACCTTAAACCAACAGTATACACCACCGCTAGGGTGCTAGGATCAGCCTTCTGACACAGGCACTGCACGGCAGGTGGAAGACTCTCCAAGACAGGCATTGAAGGAAGCAATGCAAGCTGTATGATGGGTGGAGAGCAAGAGTTTGGTTCCAAGAAGCAGCATCCGGCTAGGGAAGAGGCAGAGGCCCCTAGGCAGGTGGCAGGGTGTGAAGACGCAGCACTGAGCTTCATTGCCATGAGGGTTGGGACAGGACAGCCAACGGGTCAGTCTGATGTGGCATCAGGGCATCAGAGCGGTGCTGTGGGCAGAAGGGCTGGACAAGGGTACCCTACAACCTGGTGAGGGCAGAAGTGGTGCTGGAAGGATTCTCAGTCTGGCCTCGCTCTTGGGGCCCTGAGCATCATGAGACTGTGACCTCTCAGGGAAGAAGCTGCACTGGAGAAGCAGCCTGGGCCCCACCAGAGCAGTGGGAGGGGGACTCCATTGCTGGCCTCTGCCAGCACCCACAGACATAATAAGTGCTCCCTAGGGTCCTGACCCCAGAAACGAGGTAAATACAGAGTGGACATCTGAAGCCACTGAGTTTGCAGCAGCTGGTCTCCCAGCAAGCCAACAGGGAGGGGACTGGCGCTGCAGTGATGAGACGATGACACTATTTTTGACTCTGACTTATATATGTGACTGGGACAAAAGTAACCGAAGAAAATTTTAAAGCATTAAATATAAAGGTGAAGTCAAGTGAATTTTTAACTCTTACGTAAGCAGGGAAACCCAGTGTGCCCATGTGAAAGCCTGTCTACCAGCCTCCAATATGGACAGCCCCTGCCAGTGGCTTCAGGCGTGACCAAAAGCCTGACATCATCGCCACATCTTCCTTTCCTGGCCCTCAGTGACCCCGTAATCCAACCCTCACTGCAGCCAGGAGAGAGCCTCATTAATAGGCAAGTCATCTGGAGAGAGAATAAACTGCCCCCAAAATTAGGGACCTGGATTCTTTTTAAAGTGAAGATGTGCCAATGTGCAGAGCCGACTCCCACTGGCAGCGCCACTGCCTGCAGGCAGCTAGGTGCCGGCCCTGGGCATGCTCCGGCAGGCCCCTGTGACAGGCAGCAAGGTTGGCTTTCCCCTACCACTCAGCTCTCTGACTCTCTCAGGGGACCAGCGGGGACCATGGGGTGCGGGGTGAGGGGCACACAGGTGTAAGGGGCCAAGCCGGCCCTCCTGGAAGGACAGAAAGGCACTGCACCTCCCGGTATGCATTTCACAATAAACCCTGCATTTACCTGGCACCAGTACACACTAGGGCTCTGAAGGGAGTCGGTACGTGTCCTTACCACCTGCCACCAGAACTCTACCAGAGGACAGCTACACACAGCACCTGTATCCCAGCCATGGGTAACACCGGTGTCAGAGGCTCCACGGCCGGCTCACTGGGTCTCTGCTCAGAGAGGCTGTGCCTCACTCAGTGGGTGCAAATACATGAAGCGTAGCTGCGGGCGGAGGAATATCAGGTGCATCTCTACGCCCCGAGGGCTCAACTCCTACACTTAAACCCCTCCCACTGGAGCAGCCAGCTCCAGTTTCACCGAGCCAGCCCAGCGTGAGAACACATCCTGCTCCCAGTGCCCAGCACAGCGCAGAGACCTGCATCCCACACCGCACCGCACACCTGGTAAGTGCTCTCGATTTCTTCTCAGATCCGACTTCTCTTTCCAAACTGACCTCCAGAGTGTCTTAAGATATCTGGCTGAATGAATTGCTTGCTCGGTTCTGCTCTACCTTGCTCTGAGCCCTGAGGACGAGTCAGGACCAGCAGGTGCACTGCCTAGATACACACCACACACTTTATTTGAGGGTAGTATGAACAAGCTTATTCAGAAATTAAGTCCTCATTTTTGCCATAAAATTCATAAAAGATAAAACAAAATGTGACTTTATATTATTGCTTAACTCTTCCTTACCTTAAAGCTAAGCTACATTAAATTTCAACATTAAGAGGTAAGGAAAACAGTTGCTGATTTTAATTTCTCATTTAATTTTTAAAGTTTAAAGTAAGTACTGTTTCAATATAACCTTTTAAAAACAAAACTTAACCAAAAAGGCTAAGTTTTTGTTTGACTGTTAAGGTCATACACTCTGTACTCACACACACTTGAGTGCTCACACATATACAGGGGTTGTTTTTCCCTATATGGAACTTCTTTCAGAAGTCTGTGGGAAAACAATTACTGACCACATTATTGGCCAGGCCTGACCCAAGTGAGGCTTCAGCAGCCTCTGTCCACCTGGCCCCAAGACCACTTGCACCAGGACAAGGTCTCCAGTGTTTGGTAATGTCTGTTACGAACAGGAGGTGCTGGCACTGCATGGGTATGACAGAGGGCCTCTGGCTGTTTTCTGGTTCCTTTCTTCCAAATCACACTCCCAAAAAGTGCCTCCTCCCTAGGTCATGGTTGTCCGAGGTTTCCCCTTCATTTTAGGGAACAGAAAGCTGGGAGGAGCAGCCGCCAGTCACAGGGAAGGCTCAACTGCAGAAAAACTCACAAATCTTGTTCTTGCGACACCCCAGTGGGAGCCGACAATGGCGTGTCCTTGAGTGGCGCAATAATGCCACATCACAGGTGGTAATTACAGCATGCCCTTCAGGATGTTCCACCTGTGAGGCTCAGCGCCAGACAGCTGGACACCACCAACAGTGTCAGGGCTCTGCCTCCATGCAGAGGCCAACAGGCAGGACGAGCACCTCTGTGGCCTGGCATGGCCAGCGCTGTCCTATAAAGCTAGGCTATAATTACCTCCACTGTGTCCTAGCAAATCCTTAACAAAACTTCCCCCATGGTTTTCTAAGTTCAAGGCCCTCCACTCTCATGGTCTTAACACACAACTCGTTAAGTGTCCACATGAAGCGGCCAAGTGCCATGCTTTAAAGTAGAGATAAACAGAAGCTGGGGCCAACTGAAACCATGTGCTACTCAGAGACCTGCTTGGGCAGCTGTGCCAGGTCAGCACGCTATGGTAGAGGAGCAAGCTTCTGGGGGCCCTTCTGAGGCACAGTAGCACAGGGGGCGTGTGAACAGGCCAGTGGGGCATCTGCGCACCCAACAGGACAGCCAGGGAAGCTCCAGCAAGCCCTTGCACCTCACTGTTTGCACGCCCTTCGACAGGCAGCAAGGTTGGCTTTCCCCTACCACTCAGCTCTCTGACTCTCTCAGGGGACCAGCGGGGACCATGGGGTGCGGGTGAGGGGCACACAGGTGTAAGACACTGTTACAGTGTTACAGTGTAGACACTAACACCACAGGCACAACCACTCAGAGGAGGGGCTTGGCAAACTAGCAAGGTGGTGCCCTAGAGCAGACAGAGAGAGGGTCAGCCAGGAGGCCAGGAGGCACCACCTCACCCTCTCCTGCCCATCAACGGGGAAGAGCACAGAGGACAGACACAGATAGAGTACCAGGTAGAGACCCACGGCCCCACCCAACTCCCCAGCTGCACAGTCCCAAGGCAGAAACATGCCCATCCAAGATCAGGATAGGGACAGGGACAGAGACAGGGACATCTTTCCTCACCTTTGGGAAAAACTTTGCCTTTGAATGCAAATCCAAACTTACTGTAAATAAAGCTCTGGGTTTTACTGTTTTGGCAACATGGTCTTTTTGGACTATTTAACACCAGCAGCTGCCGGAGAGTACAAAGTCCAGCAGGTATAAACTGACCAGACAGGACTGTGTCAGACCTCTGTGCCCACAACCATATGTGACTGACTGCGGTTGTGGCTGTAGGTTAGTTTCTTCATCCTCGTAAACCTCACTTGGGTAGGAGAGAGAACTCACAGGCTGACATCATCATTCGAAAGCTTACAAAAGCATCAATTTTATCCCACTTACTTCTCCAGCATGACTGTAGTTTTATAGGCAGGTGAGCTACGCCCTCTTACACCTGCCTCAGAAGCAGCTGAGTGCCCTGCTTTAATCAGCAATTGTGCAACTGGAGAGGTCAGTTTATCCAAAGTTATTAAAATAGCAGTGCCTGGAACTCCACTTTATATACATTACCTTCAAGCATAAACCCTATAATAATCACCCTCACCTCCAAGGATCTGGGCATTGGGAAACCACGCCCCTCACATACACTGCCCAGAAACTGAGCAGAGAACAAAAGGGAAAGGTTCAGACGCAGCTTGAGGCATAGCCTGTGTGATGGGAAGGTGTGCTGACAGCAGTGAGTAGTTACTTCCCAAATTATTCTTTTGGGTGACACTGTGATAACCTGCACACAGCCTGACTCCTGTAAGACCTCAGGGAAACCAGACCACGGTGGGGTGCTTATCTTCTCCTGCTACAGTAAGTAACACTGCTTGGATGCTTTCTTACATCCCGAGGGGACTTTATTGTCCTCCCAATGCTTGAGGCTCTGTATCTGAGTCCCCCTTGGTATCGCTGGGCGGCTCACACTTAATAAATGTCTGCAACTGTCATCGTGTTGCTCACAATGCTCCCAGAGAGTGATGAAATCACTGCTCTCAGATCTGTGCCATGACATATCCTGCGCGGCCCTGGGAACCTGCCTTGCCGTGGTTCCCACGCCTGCGGGACTGGAGCACACTGAGCGTGCCAGCACAGGCCCCGCTGACTTAGCCGGCTGGCCTGCACTGCAGGAACCAGGCCTGCTGCTGGAGAGGGCAGGGTGGCCTTGTTCTTGTCACTCTGAAGATCTGCTCCCCTAGAGACTACTCTTCGCTGTTTTCCTTTTAATAATAGGATAAAAGAGGAAAGATGTGTAGCTGGCTTGGCTTTGACATGATACCCATAGCTCCTGCCCCTTTATATGGCAAGAGTTCAGGGAGAACACCGGGAAAGCTACAGGCCCACACCCCAGAAAGGGTCCGGGGTGGCTCTTGCCCCAATTACAGGGCAACCAAAACTATTTCTCATTCCAAACGCATGCTGCCTACCACTGCCATTTAGAAACTGTTAAGTGGGAGGTTTCTGGTCTCAGCAGAGTCCTCTTTTCTATCCAGATCACTTCTAACAGAAAGTCTTAAAGTCTTAAACTACACTAGCAGAGGTAGCTGGGGACTGTCAGTTTAATTCCTTGTGTTTTTAAGAAATGATAAGTAAAAAAAAGAAAAAGAAAGAAGAACTGATGAGTAAATTAGTAGAAAATCCAAATAAAATCAGCTTTCTCACACTTGAGGTATCCAAAAGGAAACCAAGACCTTGCCTGAGGCCAGGAGCCTCCCCTGCATTCCAGGGGTGTCTCCCCGCTGAGTCTAGAAGGTACTGTTTGACATCTTAGTCCCACAGACTATTTTGCAGCTGAAAACACTTTTCTTACATTACTTCCACCAACTTTATTTCTAAGCTATTTGAAAATATTAGGGAGCTGGAGACCTTTACCTTTTCATGTTGCCAAGTGAATGTAGGCACCTGAAATCCTCGTCAGTGGCCCCGGGGTGGCAGCTGCCCTCTGCTCTCAGCTCTGGGTCAGAAGGTGCAATGAAGCAGGGTGTGTGGTGGATGGGTGGGGGTTGACCTCCAGGGAACCCCCAGTTTCTACCTATGAGTGCCAAGAGCCTGAGCAGCAGGCTGGAGGCCCTGCCCCTTCTGGAGGCTAAAAGCCAAAAAGGCCTCCCATGGTCCAGATGACATTCACATGGAGGTCTGTTTAGAGCCACATTGTGACAAGACAGGGCAGACAGAAGTACCGACTCTATCTTGATGAGGAGACAGCACACAGAACACAGCAAGCTCACCCTGACAGTGCTGCAGGGTGAGCAACCTAAATGCATCATTTGTGTTTGTATGGAAACAACAGAAATTCAACTTGCTAGGACTAGGGGTGTGGCCCAGTGTGAGCGCTTGCCTGCCATGTGCTAGGCCCTAGGTTCCATCCCTGGCACCTGAAAAAAAAAGTGCAACTTAATGAGAAAGAGCTGACTTTTTATTTGTGGTTTTGGAAGCAATAGGGTACAGTCACGTGTTTAATAATCTTCACTCATGACACCCACATACAGAATATGTCAACATAAGGCTCCACGGGCAGGACAACCACCAGCCCTCAGCCAAATGGCACACCACACACACTGCTTAAGGATGTGACTCCACAGCACAAGCAGGCTGTGAGGCAGGCTGTGCTGGGCCCACTCCAAAACCCCAAGGAGGTGGACCAAGGGCCTAAGATCAGCCCCTTGGGGTACTCCAGAGAGAAGGTCTAGACTGTGGGATAAAGGCCCCCCAATCCCAGAGAAGTACAGGTATTCTCAGAGCTGATACTCAGCCTTCACACACTACACACTCTTGGCCCCCAGGGTATTCTTCCAGGTCAGACTTGAGAAAACAGAAAACACCGCAGGGAGCTGGCAGCCAGCAGAGCAGGCATGTACAGATGCAGGGTGCCACAGCCTCCTCACAGGGCCTCTGCCCCAACCCTCCCTCAGCAATGTGACAAAGACCCCAACCCACTCAGCCCCCATTCTGACTCAGCCTCTGCTCTGCCCTCACAGCTCCAGGACCACACGAGTAAGACCTCTCGAGATACCTTGGCAGTGGAGCTGGCTCCAAGTAACAGTACTCGGAAAAGAGAGGCAAGACGGGGACTCACCTTCCTAACAGCCACCCAGTCTGGGTAGAGGAAGAGTCTACCCAGAGCAGTGACCCCATCACTCAGCCAACTGCAGCCTGTTGGCCAACACAGGGGACATGAGTCTTCTCAAAGAGCGGAAACCAAAAAAGCCACATTACATTCCACGGCCACCAGGGAAGCCCTTCAAGTACAAGTGCTTCCAGTGCCCTTTCACTTGCAATGAGAAGTCACACCTCTTCAACCACATGAAGTACGGTCTCTGTAAGAACTCCATCACACTAGTGTCTGAGCAGGACCGTGCCCCCAAGGGCTCCAAGCCCAACTCATTGGACCCTCGGCAGGCCCTCCAGCCAGAGCCCACAGTCAAGCCAGCCCCTGCCAAGGCACTCTCCCATGGGTTTTCCAGCCTCGACCCAAAGCAACAGCTCAGCCCTGCCAAGGAGGACACCAAGGAGGACCTGGAGCTGCCAGTGCGGGCGGCCCACAGATGCCCTCAGAGGTCAGCCCTACAGAGGGAGTTGGCCCCAGAAGCTACTCTTGGGACCCAGACATCTCTGGACAGTGGGGTTCGGCCTTCAGCATTTGTTCCAGTTGGAGAGCACAGACTCAAGGGGCCAGACAATGCAGAGGCCCCTGAGACGCTGGCGCTGACCAACTCCACAGTAAAAGCCACATCTTTCCACACCAAGTCTGCGTTCCACACACCTGGCTACCCCTGGAAAGCTGGCTCCCCATTCCTCCCACCCGAGTTTCCACATAAAATCCCATCCACAAAGGGGTTTGGCACCATCTCTCCCTATATGCACTCCACAATCCCAGAGTACCCCCCACCCTTCTACACGGAGCATGGCCTGGCCACCATCTACTCCCCCTACCTCCTTGCCGGGAACGCACCTGAATGTGATGCCGCCCTGCTGTCCATCTACGGGTCCCAAGACCAAAGACACTTCCTGCCTCACCCAGGGCCACTCCCCAAGCACCTCACCCCATCTCCATCAGCATATGACCATTACAGGCTGCTCCCACAGCTCCACGCCAGTCTGCCCCTGCCGTATGGCTTCTACAGACCCGAGTCAGCATTCACCTCCTATGGCCTCAGGCTCCCACCTGTGGCTGGCATAGCTCGAGACCAAAGCTCTCGGGTGCTAGAGGATGGTGCCCTGGTCTACCCAGCCTCAAGCCCCTCTGAGTTAAACCCTCCCAACTCCCACAAGAAGCACACAGAGTTTGAGAAAGTAAGTCCAATTCCCGAGGCTAAAGACCCTTCCAAAGACACCGAAGGGGCCAAAATGAGCCCCCGTGCAGGCAGCGCAGCCACAGGCTCCCCAGGAAGACCAAGTCCCACCAACTTCACACAGACCAGCCAGATGTGTGAAGGCCTGTGTGACCTCTCAAACAAAGTAACTTCAGACACGCCGGGATGGCTCCAGCAGCCCAAACAGAGCCCCACGGCCTTCAAGCCTGTCCAGAAGAGCACAGAACACCCTCATCCCCAGCTCCCTGCAAACAGAGCAGAGTCTCCCAAAAGGTAAGAAAATTTCATTTTCAAACCCTTCAATGTAATATTTTTGGTTGTGTTCAACCAGCCACATTCACATTTGTTCAAAATGCTTTAGTGATCACTTTCCTAAGCACACTCTCACCAAACCTCTCTGACTCTTCCAGTCTCCAGGCCCAGAATGGAGATCTTCCCGCACAGACAGAAGGTGTCTCTCTCACCCCTGAAGTCCCACCCTCCAGCCCTGAGGATGGCTCTAAGACCGGCCCCCTCAACCTCTCCAAGAAGCTGGAGACAAACTCTGCTGCTGCTCACAGACCAAAGTACACAGGCAGTACCCCAGTGGCCCTGGACTTCTCAGAGCCACAGGACCTGCCCCTCGACCTCTCTGTGAAGGACACCTGCATCTCTCAAGGCCCGTGGCCTACTGCTCCCAGCTCACTGCAGGGTGCAGAACCCACTGCTGTTGCTCCAAAGACTGTAACAGAAGGTTCTGGAGATGGGCCAGGCCAGGCTGACGCACAGGACAATGCGGACCCCAGTGGGAAGGCCCCAGACACACGTGTGGTGGACAGTGGTGATGAGCAGAAGCAGACAGCAGCTGTGGCCCTCTGTCAGCTAGCGGCCTTCAGCCCCAGGAATGTCCAGGCAGGCGATGGGAAGCCTACCGCCCAGGAACCTGCCTGTCCTGATGCACCCACACCCAGTCCCAGGGACAGCCAGGGGGCTCAATGCGACCTCAGGCCCAAAGGACAAAAGAGGACAAGTCAAAGGGATGCAGGGAAATCCCAACAAGGAGCTAAGAAAATGAAGCCGAGTGACACGGCAGCTCGAGTGTTTACTCTGCGCAGAAGGACCCGCGTGTCCTAAGGCCTGGCCCTGTGTAGCTCAGAGCTGCAGGAGACCTGCCCCCTGCACTGCATCCCACGCAGCCCTGCACTGCTCATTGCACAGTTCCATGGATGCAATTTCTTGTTTCTCCTTAGGAAAAAGTAGTTCAGTCCAGTTTCTGTAGACATTCAGCTGAATGTGAAAGGCGAATTGAATACCAGTGCAACATGCGGGGCAAGAGGATCTCGAGGTGGGGCCTGCTGGCACCAGGGTCTCTCACAGACACTTTTCTCACAAGTACGTTAGCACTACAGTAAACTATCTTAACTATTTTTCTATTACAACTAGCTCTGTGACTTGAAGTAAATAACAATTACTAGAAAGATATCAAGAAAAAATATTTTCAGTACTAGCATTCAAGTGCTGTATGTAAAAATGTTGCCATTTGTTATGTCTGAAACATAAACATCCAGGGGCTATTTATACAAATAATTTATTTCCACAGGGGAAGGTGTGTTACTGGTAACGGTACAATCGGTTTATTCCATTTGCTTGTAATATCGAAGTGAATCGTCTAAGTTGTTCAGCCTCACTTTCCATTCCCTAAAATGATGTATATGTTGTCAATTTTCCAATAAACTCATAAACTTTAAGAACACATAGGATGAAGGTAACTGTAAACTCTGTGGTACCCTTTGAAGTAGTGTGCATAACACTCAGCAACAAGAAACTGGCAGAGGAGGTAGCACTGAACTGAGAGAGCCCGTCTCACGAATGTGGGTGGTGTGGACAGGCAGGAGTGGGAACAGGCGAATCCCCACCATGGCTCTGAGGTGTCTCAAAGACCATCAGATCTGTGGGCCACAGGGCACAATGAGGATGTAAGACCCTGGGAGCAACGTGGAAAAGCCTCCATCCTGACTCCTTCTCGACAGCTCTGTCCTCACTCTGAGGAGACAAACATCACCCAAGCCCCACAGGCAAGAGCTGAGCTTCAGGCACCTATGCAGGCACCAGAGGAGCTCCCACGGTGTACTGTGTCCCATGCAGAGAAGGTGTGGGGAGGCTGTCCATGGTGGAGTACGGGCTGCCAGGAGAAACAGTGAAGTCCAAACCACAGCACCAGCTATGACAATGATGCCGTTCCCAGCTACCTCTTCAGGTGAGTAAGACCCAAGCAGGGTTGATGCAGAGCCCTGCCCAATTCTGGGCAACAGAACTCCATCCTGTCGGGGCTGGGGATTTAGCTCAGCGGCGCAGCACCTGCCTGGGAAGCACGAAGTCGTGAGTTCGATTCCCAGTACCAGAAAAAAAAAAAAAAAAAGAACTCCATCTTGTCAAAACCTGTATGTCAGCAAGGCACTGCTTCTGGTTGCTCGGTCAACTACATATACTACTAACAATTTCTTTCCAGTTTTTTAAATTTATTATTTTAACTCATACATGAAAATAGAAGTTGTACATGTTAACGTGACATTTGAGACTAACAATTTTTTTAAAACTAAAATTAGAAAAACATTTCAGTAAGTTGCACCTCATGGCCAAAAAAATGAAACAGTTAACTCTCTTACATGTTCCTCCCTGAGAACTGACTAGTCAGAAGAGGCTCCACTCTTGTGGTCTCAGCACAAACTGTCTGGGAAGGGGTGGACAGAGGGAAGGATGAATATACTGTAAAGAAACACGCGTCCCAGAAACTTGCGAGGCCTGGACACCTTATACACACGAAGGCAGACAATGGGTTTACCTCGTGACATGTTTCAGGACAGAAACACCATGCTTCAAAACAAGCTAAATTTATATAAAACTTCAATACCAACTTGTAAGAGATGTGAAGAGTCTCACAATTCTTCTAAGGAATACCAATCCTTCTAAGGAATACCTGAGGCCATGGCAGCAAACTGACCCTGAAGACACAGTAAGGACAGTCAAGGGGAACACTATGGTCCTGTCCTTGGGGCTGCAGGGGGCCCTGCGGTTCAGTACTTGAGGGGGCAAGGAACTCTGTGGTCTCGTCCTTGGCGGTAGTGGGTATCCTGTGGTCCTGCCCCTTGTGGGGCCCTGAGAGACTATCTTTGGGTCCTATAGACCAGGCTCCTTCCTTGAACTGACAGCCATGGACACACCCCTCTGCAAGGGCCAGGTCTCTGACCTGCATGATGGTTCCCTAGCTCCCCAGGTGCTGGTATCCTGAATGACAACAAATGGGACCAAGGCAGCTGTTAGCCCCCAACCCAACCTCGGTGCAGCATGAACCTCTGACAACCTGGAGGTGCTCTGCCCTGCACCTCAGCATGCCATCACCATGTGACCCACCCAGGAGGGCCACCTGCAGGAATAGACAATCACCACCAGACAAGACTCCATTTACCTTTAAAACAAAGCAAATTCCTAGAGCCTTATAATAAGAAAATAGCCTTACTGATTTCTCAGCTATGCTGCCTATCTGCATCCATTGGTGACCTGACTCCAGAACTAAGTTTCTAAGTTTTACATACAAGAAGTGATGAGCTTTCAAAAAGTCACACAAACCACACTGCAATCCCACTGCATTGTGCCACCCAGGGAACTGACCGGGTCTCATGAGCACATGCACCGCCACGCTCACTGTAGCAGATCCGGCAGCAGAAGGGACAACTTGAGCACCTGCTGACAGCAGGTGTGCAGAGTGAGGTGGTTCAATGGGTAGCTGTCCTCACACAGGAAGGACACTGCTCTTCACGCCACAACACAAAAGAACCTTAAAACCACACTTGGTGAAACAAGTTATGAAAGGCCCAACACCGTACAAACTTGGCACTTACATGAGGTCCCTAGAAGACAGAAATGCACAGAGGCAGGGGGTAGACTAGAGCAGCCAGGACTTGATCTGTTTGGGGGGATAACAGCTCCCAAACCAGATGGAGGTGACGGTTGTACAACAGTGAACATAATGCCACACAACAATATGCACAAAAATGATTAAAATGCTAAATTTTTAAATTTTACATATTCTTACCATAATTTTTTAAAAAAATAAAGCAATATATCAAAGTCCATTCAATCTTAAACTTTAAATGAGGAATTATTTGGTAGGTAAATTACACTGGGTTAGGTTGAGAAAAAAAGGCAAAGCACCTGCACAGTTAATACCCACTCTGCTCTCTGCACAGCCCAGACAAGGCCTGCTGCAGTCTGTCGCCTACAGGCTTACCCAAGGGGCATGGAGAGCCACCAGGCCCCAGCTAAGTCAAAGACTCAAGGTGATGGGCTCCACTTTCTTTCAAACAGGGAGGCAAACAGCTCAAAACCCCACAAAGGCTAAAAACCAAACTCCAATCACAAGGGCTGTCCAAATCCCTCCAGGCCCATCTGCTTACCTGGAAACTGAGGTGCCAGTGATGGAGGTCAGAACATGGTGTCTCATGCTGCAGTGGGCACAGCTTGGCAGACCTGCTGCACAGACTGGCAGCCAGACTCAGCACCAAGTTCTGGCACACTTCTGCAGAGGGAGCGTAGCTGCCACATTAGTGCAGCACCTCCTGGGAGACACGGGCTCCTCTGCAGTTACTGCTGGCTAGAGGATGCTCTCCAAAGCCCTGCAAACCCTTTTCCCAGACACACAGCTTCCAAGGAGCCTCAAGCCCCTCTACCCACAATACACCTTTGAGTCCAGACAGGGCCCTCTAGCCTTCAGCTTCTCCCACCCTTTGCAGGCATTTCCCTGAGGAAATTCTCCCAGATATAATCCTATCAAAAGACTGGAAGGTCACTACAGCGCCATCTACATACTCCTTACTCAAAAAAGTCCTGGAACATGGCAGTGGGGCTCCATAACCTGAACCACTACCAAGACAACACTAAGCTGGCCTCCATTCCCAGGACCAACTTTTGCAAAGGCCCACATTCTAACCCAAAACTTTGAGCAACTGAGAGAATGCTCTCTGTGAGGAAGAAAGAGGCTGGTGTATCTCAGCACTTAGGGACATCTTTGTCAGGTGCTAAGACTCAGAGCTGACTTCTGAGACCAAACACAAGACACTCAGTTCCTACAGAAGCAGTGTCAAAGCCACAGATGGCCAAAGCCTTAACATAACACAGACTGAATCCCTGTGGACATCTAGGAGTTACCATATTATATTCAGAATGTTCTATTTTCATTAAAAAAAAAAAAAAAAACTACAAGGCATCCAAAGAAACATGAAAGTGCATCCATTCACAGGAAAACAAGAATCAACAAAAATCACCCCAGAGGAAGGCCAGACACTGAACTTCCCAGCTAAGACTTCAAATCAGCTGCCTTAAAAAGATGCTCAAGGAGCTAAATGAAAACATCTGGGAAAGTACAGAATGTCAATAAAGGGACAGAGGTGATGACAAAAAGAGACCAAATGGACCCCAATGTGCTGCATGTGGAGGGCACAGACCCTGCAGCTCTCTGATTTCCTTGCCCTGAGAACTGGCTTTTAGCTCTAAGGATCTGTTGCTGATGAGGGCTCCTGCAACCGAAGCACCTGGTGTCCCCACAGTATCTGTCCTGCATTGGCGTCTGTCTTGTGTCACCTCAGGGCAAGGAAATCAGAGAGCAGCAGGGTCTGTGCCCCCCACATGCAGCACATGGGGTCTGTGGTCTATGCATCCCACCAAAGCCAGTAGGAGGAAGCAGACAGGTCACATGTGCAGTGTGCTCTTCCATGCAACTTGTGCATTCACAGCCAGCCACCAGGGAGATGGCTCAGACGAGGACCCTGCTACGCCGCAGTGGCTCAGAAGACACAGGTCCATGCACTTTGTTACTTACCCTCTGGGAGTCGTGATGGAAGCAACAGGCCTCGTCTGCCCAGTTCTGCCAGTGCCAGACATCCACCATGCCATGCCTTGTCCGTCTCCTGAAAACTAAGACCAGATTTCTGATGTCAGCTCTTGATCCAAAGCCCAGACTTAGACAAGGAACACAGGCTGTGCCCTGAGCCTCAAGGAGACCCTAACTTTTTGGTTGAAGAAATAAAACACTCTAATTCAACACTAAGACAGCTACCATGTCACAAAACCACCATGTCATGAAGACAGTTATCTCTTCAGATCTCCCCAGGATGGAGAACCTGAGACCCAAGCCCAGAGTAAGTCTACCACCTGTGTCACCTGGATGGAGGGCCTGGTCACAATGCTTCAGCTACCCTGCACATGAGCACTGGCCTGGCTCTATCATAAGAGATGACACACTCAAAGCCAGGGCTTCACAGGGATCCCATGCAAATCACACAATGGCAACAAATAGGGAGCAGGAAGGCTCATTCAAATGCCACCCACTGTTTACTTGATCATCAAATTCAAGATTAAAAAATCAGAATAAAACAGTACTTGCACTTTTTTTTGTACTATTTGAAATACAGATCTCTTTTTCCTTGTAAGAGATAAAGCAGACTAGCCCTGAACTTCTGTGCTCAAGCAATCCTCCTGCATCAGCTGACCACAATGCTCAATTACAGGCACGGGCTACTAGGCCTGGTTAATAGATGGACTTTTAATAAATACTTATAATGCGAATTAGTCACATTGAAGTAATATTTAATGTTTAATAAAAATATCTCTGAAGTGGTTCAGAAGCTCTCTTTAGAGTGTTGCCTGTCATCATCAGTGTAAATAATTGCTTCTCAGGGTTGCTCTAAAGTTTCCACACTTTTCTGCCAATATAAATATGAAAGTACACATCACCAAAAAGTAAAACAAATTATAAGACTTTTACCAATTCTGATCAAATTAATTTCATAGCAAAGGCACGCAGGAAAACCATTAGGCTGCATGACTAGCAGCAGCAAGCACAAGGCTGCTGGGATAGGAGAGGGCACAGGGGACACCAGGCTGGGTGGCCTTCCTAAGCTACATGCACCTCCAGAGAGGTCACTCAGACACAACTATTCTGGGGCTGCTGGAGGTTGGTGCTGGGGAATGAACCCAGGGCCTGCACACTTGAGCTCCAGGCCCAGGTCCCTTTTTATTTTTTGAGACAGGGTTTCGCTAAGTTGCCAAGTTGACCAGACAGGGTTTGAGCTTTTGATCCTGCCTTAGGCTCCCAGAGGGCTCGTATTACAGGTGTGCACCGCTGTGGTGGATGGACAACTGGTGGTCAACTTGTAACACCCAGCTGAACTGAGTAAGTGTGGCGCTGGGTGTGGGAGACCCAACAAGGATTGCTGCCAGCAGCATAAGAGGCAGAACTGGAGAAGAAGAGAGGCTTTTGGGAGCTGAGAGAGGCTGCTGGGAGCTGAGAAGCTGTTAGAAGCTGCTGGTTCTCTTAGAGGAGTTTGTCATGCTGGCTTTCCTGATGAACTTGCTGTTATCATCATCTGAGGAGGCTGGGACCTTTTGTCGCTGAGAATGGCTTCGGTTCACTTTGGGGGAGTTCTGGTCCTCACTATGAGCATCACTTTCTGGCTCCAGAAGGGAAGATAGTGCACTTCTCAGTCTCCTGGAGAAGCCCTGGAGAAACTTATTGCGTTGGCTTTCCTGATAGGAACTCAGCTTTCCTCCTCATCGGAGGAGCTCAGGACCTCACTGTTGCTGAGGATGGCTGTGGTACTTTTCAGGGGAGCTCTGGTTCTTACATTCAGCTTCCTTCCTGGCTCCAGTGCAGATCCCTCAGCCTTCTAACACAGATCCTTCATCCCACTGGCACAGATTTTCTAGTTTTCACCACTGATCTTTGGGCCTTTCAGCACAGATCTGTGAAACAGGCCTGCATGAGATGTTGTCATGGGCTCTAGGCCTCCAGTTGGACTTGTGAGAGGGACTGTTATGGGCTGTAAGTCTTCAGCTGGACTCATGCAGGACATTATTGTGGGATCCAGGCCCTCAGCTGGATTCTTGGTCTTTATTTATTTATTTTTTTTTTTGGTTTTTCTCCGGTACCAGGAACTGAACTCACGACCTTGCGATTGCCAGGCAGGCGCTTTTTGCTACTGAGCTAAATCCCCAGCCCCGATTCTTGGTCTTTAGTGTGTGGACAGATTTCCTGCACTCTCTTTGTATATGATTCTTTGGGTGACTATTATAAATAATCTTATAAAATATGTGTCCTGTATTATGCTGTTCCCCTTGTAGAAACCCCAAACTACAACAACCACCATGCCTAGCTCAAGTACAACTTTATTAATTTCCATATATTCTACTAAAAATCTGCCCAAAGGCCACATGACCATTTCCAAAATTAATATCTGTACTTTGTGGCCCTTCAAATCTTAACTGTGCTTAAAAGTGCTTCTCACTTTTCCTAAAGACTTATTAACAACCAAGTGAACTTAGTATTAATGCTAGGATGACTCAAATATACAATAGCCCAGGTCTGTTATGCCCACATCCATTTCTAAACTATACATGTGTCCACCATGGCTTCCCCCAGGCTGGCCTGAGAAGTGACCTAGTCCTTGGATGCCAGGGACCAAGGCAGACATCAGCCAAGTGCTGAGTGTGAACTCCCACCTCGGACCCAAGCCCAGAGCAAGACAGGAACACACAAGAGCCCAGGATCAAGGGCTACAAAGGGCCCAAGGAGGCTGGAAGGTATGGGAGGCTACAGCCTCAGCTCAAACCTGGCTGACCGCCCTGTCTGCACTATGCCCTGCATGCTGCTCTGAGCTGAGGGAGGAGGGACAAAGAGCAGGAAGTCCACTCCCACCCTCAGAACAGAGGCACAAAAATGCAATTCACAAACCAAAATAACAAAAAAGGCAAGAAGCACTGGAAGAGTAAAGCAGCCAGGATAACTAACACTATACAAGACTGTAAGCCAGCAGAAGGAACACATGGAAGAGCAGCACACACCAGCATGCTGAGAGGCCCCGCAGAGAGCAGCTCCAGCAAAGCCTAGCTAAACAAGTTTTAAAACCAGAGGGAAGCCAGGCATGGTGGTGCACGCCTGTAATCCCAGCATTTGGGAGGCTGCAGCAGGAAGATCACTGCGAGTTCGAGGCTATCCTGGACTACATAGCGAGTTCAACGCCTGGCTAAACTGCATAGTAAGACCCTGCCTCAAAAAACAAAAACAAAAACAAAAACAAAACAACAACAACCAAAAAAAAGAGGAAAAAAAAAAAAAAAAAACCACAGAAGGAACATGCAGAATACCACAGGAAAGGAAAAAGCAACAAAAGCACCTAAGACGAATGGCCACTGCAACTGGGCAGTGAACGGCAGCTGGAGGACGGAGGACCCACTCTGTTCATGCCCCCCAAGGCAATCCTCCCATAGCTCTGCTGTCTTGGAGAACAGGAACCCAGGCTGTGCATTGGCCAGCACCCACAGAGAACAGGAACAAGGCCACTCAGGCATGCTGGAGGGAATTCCAAGGATGAATGTGAAATGAGCCCATAGCTCTCAAGAAAACAAACCCTACACACTCTCCAGCCCACACACTCCATAAAGCAACCCCGACAAGCAGAATGTGCTTTTACTCCATGCAGCGTTATTCTAAAGAAGATGAGCAGCATGTGACAGATCATTTCCTGCAGTGCAAGGCTGTCACTGAGCTGCCCAAGGCTAAGTGGAGGAGAGAACTGCTCCAGCCGGAAGATGGCAGGGCTGCTAGCAGAACGTTTCTGGTCACTGACATCACACTGAGCAACCAAAGTGCTGCCAGAACACTTTTGAGATGTAGAGTCCTAGCTAGGAGTGACAGGCCCACACGAGTGCCAGCTATGGAGGGCCAGCAAAAAGTAGGGCTCTGAATAAAGGAGTGCCCCTTCTCAACCCTTACCTCTGACACCCAGACCCACACCGATGCCACAGGTAACAGCCTTCACGAAGCTCTCCGAACCAACTCCCCCCAGATGTGCAATGTGGATCTGCAACCCAAGCTCCCACCCACCCACAATCACCATCCTCACCATCCGAAGAATTCACTGAGTGGCCAAATTTACACTTAAATTCATTAGCATTCACTTCAACTTCAAGTTCAGACCTCAGCCTCAGTAGCCACTTGGAGCATATCCAGAAAATGCCCCATGCCCAGGAGCTCCATGGAACAGTGCAGGCAGCTACCACAACCAGAAGGGAGACCGCAGAGCACACTCACTGCTTCTACCATGTGGTCAGGAGGGAAGATCTATGTAACAGGACAAGGGGAGAGAAGCCTCTGCCATGGCTGAGGACAAGTACCCACCTGAGGCAGTCCAGCACAGAACCAACTACGTCATCGGCCAGTTCTCGGGGAAGCCGCCCTGCCATCCTGCCAATTCTGGGGAGAAAAATGACAGCTATCAGGCCAGTAGACTAGCACAGGACACACACTATAATGGCCACAATAGGAGGAAAGCCCCCACACTACAGTCTGCCACCATCACTCCCCATGACAGAGACCGGAGTGACACACAGGCACATAAATGCTGTAGGCCATCACCAATGGCCAACAGCAGTCAGGCACACGCCAAGGGCTTCCACCCAGGCCCTCCCCAGGCAGTGTGCCCACTCCCATGAGATACTGGCCCAGCAGGGAGGAGGCCAAGTTTGGAGACCTGCAGGAGGGTCTTCTCACCATCCCAGTGTAGGGGCCCACACTCAACTGCTGACATTGAGTGCAGAAACAGAAGGAGCCCCTACCCTGGGCCAGCTACCAAGTCAGGGAGCCCAGGGAACCTACAGGTTACCTGCCAGCCACTCGTTTTCTCCAAACGGTACCCACTCTGTATGGACCCTCTCTCTCCACAGCCCAATACCCCCAGGGAGCCAAAACTTCATTCTCCGTAATCATCTTAAAAGTTTAAAAACCTGGTAAGATATTTGTTGCTCTCAACCCCCACATAAAGTTTTTCATGGCTGAAAGGGTCACCCTGGCCCTACCACCCACTCCCCAGCACCTACCCTTTGGCTGCAGACCAGCGCACCACCGTGTCTCTATCCTTCAGCCCACCCAGCAGCTGCTCTGCAAGAAAAGGACATAGCCATTGGCCTGACATAGCCCAGTCTTGATGCTCTGTGAAAATGCCCCCACCCCACATAGTGCTCCAACAAATATTCTGGAGAGAGCTGTGCTGAGAATCTCAATTAAGAAAACAAGAAAAGAACAACTCTGCCCCTGTGTTTTCAAACAACACAGAAAGCCCATCTTCACCGCTGGTCCTAACACACAGATCAGCCCAGCAGAGGGCCGCCAGAGTGACCTCCACAGGGGAAGGTCAAGGGCCAGAGCCTCCCAGGCCACAAAAGGGAGGCCATGGGGGACAGGCTGGCTGGAGAGGCTCCCTGAGGAAATCATCTGCCAGACTGTGAAGGTCAGCTCCCCACCCAGAGGCTGGTAGGAGGCGGTCTGGCATCAGCAGGGCCCAAACCTTGTCCAGAGGGCCTCAGACAGCCCCAAGCCAGCCTGACCTGGAGAATCAGGGGTATAAGGAACTCAACAGCAGAAGGGTACCGGGCAGTCAGAGGGCACTCTGCCTGGGACAGTGGAAAGCCCAGTGGCTTTGAGAGGCCCAAGGCATACACCAGGAGCCACATCACAGCATCCAGGAAAAGCAGAAGGTGAAAGGCATCAGGGTGAAGGCAAGGACAAGGTGTACAGCGGGATGCAGAGCTGCCATGGTGGCCAAGGCAGGCTGCATATTGCAGGTGTAGACTACACTGGGGAGAACTCACCCCAAAGGGGACCAAGTGGATATCAGCAGAGGGGACACAGCAGGAGTCAGCCTGGCCCTGGCCCTCCCAGCTAGGAAGGGGCAGGACATGGGTCCCCACAAGGAAGGAGAGGAAGGGGGCCAGGAGGGAGAATGGCAAGAGCAGCCAAGGTCAGCCGTAGAGAGGGGTACCTAGCCTCCATGGTAACACCTGCAAAAATGGGGGTGAAGAGGCTTGAGATGCCCCCAGGAAACTGTGGGTAACAGGCTGGGTAAGGACTACGGACCTGAGCCTGAGTGCCATGCCTCAATGGAATTCCACTTCCCCAGTGATATCCAGGGTGAGGAGGCTATGGGAAGGGACAGAATGGCAGCTTTGGGCCAGGAGTGGTGGTGCACACCTGTAATCCCAGCACTCAGGAGGCTGAGGCAGGAGGATCATTGCGAGTCTGAGGCCAGCCTGGGCTACAAAGGCCAGCCTGGGCTCAAGGCCAGCCTGAACTGCATAATGAGACCTTGTCTCAAAAATACCAAAAAAAAAAAAAAAAGAATGGCAGCTTTGCACTCACTGCAGGTTCAATGTCAGATGGTGCGGGTACCAGGAAGGAAAGGGAGGGCATCCCAAAGAGGTGGCCCAGACAGAGTTGAAAATACAGCATGTGCATGAGGCCTGCTGCTGCTCACCTACCTATGACGCTCTCTACCCCTTCTGGGACATCATAGTCCTCGTCTCCATCAGACATCGCAACAGGTACCTTCTGCTCACTTTGAGCCAGGGTGCAGAGCTGCAGGTTAGCAGCCAAGGATCGGGAACCACGCTGATACCTGTGTAGATCATAGCACACTCAGATCAGTCAGCAGAGCTAGAACCTGTGAGTTAACATTCTGGAGATGCAGTCTGCACTTCAGTATCACTCTGTACCACAAAGGATCTTGCGACGATTCCATGTGCTGCCCAGGACAGGATAAGCAGGGAGACTGAAGTGCTATCATCAGCACCAATGCAGAAAGCCAGCCCAAGCCACAGATACAGTCCAAGTGCAGCCAGCCTTATCACTACCAAGCCGTATTGTGGAGGGTGAGGAGGGGCCCCGCACCAAGTGCAAGGGGCAGAAATGCAGCCTCATCCCACTTGCATCAGGTAGGTTCACCCTCCTAGCTACACGGTCCCTCCTTACCTATGGCCGTGTTCATCCATGGCCAGGTCCCATGGATTCTGCCCCTGCACACAGATGGAAAGCCCAAACACACAGCAGTCCAGTTCTTACCCAGTGGGGTTGGCATCCCTTCCCAGATATGTGGGTAGGGCCCTACTGCACACCCACATGGCCACACAACTCCACACAGCCTCTGTAAGGCAGGAGAGCCACTGAGAGCACACAGACCACAGGCAGGACAGGGTCAGCAATGCCACTGTCCCCTTGAGGACAGCTTGAGGAAAGCATAGCCAGCAGCTGCCCTCAGCACTCGTGACATTACTTTGGTGCATCTGGATGCAGTGGACGCGCAGCACAAGGCCCATCAGCTGGCCTTGTTCAAATAGCTGAGGACTTGAGTGAAACAAAACACTGACCCTCTGGACAGGAATAGGGAGTCCTCTCACCCTCTGGGCCTAAGATGGACATCTCCAGCCTGCCACACCACTGTAGACCTTGAGTCTTGCCCACCTCCATGGCCACATGAGCTTTTCATGAAGCTTGTGTGTGTGCTTGTGTGTGTACCTGCACACCACACTGGCCTGCTTCTCTGGAGCACCCTGTCTAGCAGTTGTGAACCATTCTCCACAGCAGTCTGGAAACCAGGCACTAACAGTCTATCTAATAAACCATTTCTTACAGACGGCTGTATACTCAATATCCAAAAGGTATTTCGGTAACATGTCACTAAATTACAACACACAACCTTAGAAATAAATAAATAAATAAATAAATAAATAAATAAACAACAACACACTTCTCCAGAATTTGCCATAATGTGAAACAAAGGGCAGATGATCTTAATCCAATAACCCCTTCCACACACATCACTATTCAAAATAAAGCAGAAGGCTACAAAGAACACAGCATCTCATGAACATGAGATGTGTATGAACAATAGCCACTTAGTATCAATCTGCTAATGAAAGCAAGCACCTAAGGCATAAGGGTTTCATCTTCAATGAGCAAAGGCGTTTCCTTTCCTGAATAAACCTGAAAAAATGAGCCCGGTTTTCTCTGAGATCGCACTGATGGCTGATGGGAAAGAATCACCCCCAACTGCAGCCCTAACCAGCAATGCTGGGCTGCATCAGAGCGGCACATCCACTGAAGGCAAAACCAGCTTCCTTCACCCAACTCAGCCTCAGCAGGCACAGCCAGAAAGTACCCAAAGGAAAAATGTTCCTTTCAAAACCAGAAACACATACAGAACACTTAAAGATATTAAAGAAGTAAATGGAGAAGACATGTTCACAGATCAGCCTGGGTACCATGAGCACCCAAGACCAACATCACCAGCACCTACTCACCTCCAGGCAGCTACCTTTGGCTTTAGGAAGGTCAACCCCAGCCGCTGCACCAGCTTCATGCCCAGCTTTCGCAGCAGGGTCTGGTTGCTCTCAGGGAGCCTGCAGTTATCCAGGCACTGCAGCACAACAGTGGCTGGAGAGAAAGCACATGGCTCAGCATGATGCCAAGATCCTCACTCACACCTGCAGCTGATGCCTGCCACCCTAAAGCCAGCTGATCCCACAGGCCCAGGGCAGGTAACAGCTGCCCCAAGCCTTGACCCCAAAACCCCTCTCCCTAGGTCATGTGCCAAGAAAGAGCAGCTGGAGTGGAGCCAGCCAATGTCCACCAAACAGCACCCACTAGAGGCCCAGAGCACCAGAGCCATCCTATAGCAGCTGTTACAGCTTGTGGGTAGATGCTCTCTCCAAGCTGGCTGGATCTAGAGTGTGTGATGCTGGAACTGATTTGTGGTGCAATGCTAGGATCAAGAGCACCAGGATTAAGATTATGAGTGCTACCCACCCTGAGTAGCCTGGATAAGATATAAGGGATAGAAAGAGCTGTGGTCATCCCTTGCTTGCTTTGCTACCTTCTGCCCACCATGGACTGTTTCTCCTCTGCAATGCCTGTCTGCCACCCTGCCTTGGAACCAGCCAATTATGGTCTGAAGCCTCTACAAACTGTAAGCCAAATAAACCTCTCCTCCCCTAACTTGTGGGTGTTGGATTTTTTGTCTCAGCAATGAGAAGAGTAAGATAGCGGCAGCCATAAAGACCTGAGGGACAGGGACAGGAATTGGGCCTTACAGTGGGCTGGGACTTCTGAGCACATTCCATATGCCAAGGCACTCAGCAGCATGTAGGGATGGTAACCAAGGTGATCCAGATACTGTATCCAAAGGGGTACTATGACAGGGGTCTCACAAATGAGGTGGGCCAAGACCCATGCTGCACAGGTGGCTGGGGAAAAGTAAAGGCAGAAGAATGCCAGGGCAGCATCCCAGGGAGAGACAAGAACCTGGGACTCAATTTGAGAGATGGGCTTTAGGGAAATGGATGAGACTGACCAAATCCATGAGGAAGCAGAGGACAGAAGAGGGGCGGGAACAGAGCCAAGCAGCTGGATGAGGTGAGGAGGAAAAGGTAATAGGGGTTGACAGGAGTAGAGAAAGGTACAGGGAAGAGGGACTGATGACAAAGGGACAGATGAGGTGACTGGGGGTGGTGACAGGGGGAACAAGATTCCCAGGAAGTCAGAGCCAACTTTAGGGCCATGTCTGCCAAGACCAGGTCCCACCAAGGTGGAAAGAGGAAGGTCAGGACCTATCCACAGCACAAGGGCCCCAGCAAAACCCTGCTTTTCGAATGACTGGGAGAGTTCACTGAATATGACATCATTAAACATAAAACCAACAGCCATTGCTATGGCAGCACCCCCACACACCCAGTAAGATTCTCACACCACTGGTAACAGGTCAAGGAGGCATTCTTGTCACACACAAACATATCTCAAAAATAAGCCTTACCATAGGGCAGACAGTCTTCACGTTTCCCATGTTTAAATATTTGTGCCTGAGAAAAAAATATTTTGAAATGTTGTAAGTACATCTAAAAATTTAAAACAAATATAAGTTATCAGAACAATTCAATGCACCTTCCAGAATCCTTACTCAGAAGAATCAGGAGGCAAGACACTGCAGGTAACAGAGGGGTTAAAGAGACGGGAGAAAGAGCTCCTGACAGCCACCTGACAACTAGGCACACAGAGCCTGGCACTCTTGAGGGGGTTGGCTCTAACCTGCAGTGTGCACAGAGTGAACCAGCCTGAAAGGAGACGGGAGCCTCAGTGGGTTCAGATTATCAACGCAAGAGTAAAGGTATCAAAGGAGCCAGCACAGTAATCCCGGCACACACCAGTAATCCCAGCTACTCAGGAGACTGAGGCAAGAAGACTGTGTGTTCAATGAGAAGACTCTGTCTCAAAATAAAATAAAAGGTGCTGGGGATGTAGCTCAGTGGTAGAGCACTTGCCTAATATGCCCAAAGCCCTGGGTTCAACCTCCAGCACCTAAAGAGAAAAAGGCCAAAGGATAAGAGGTTTAACAGTGCCAGGGGTGATACCGCATGCCTGTAATCCCAGCACTCTGGAGGCTAAAGCAAAAGGATCATTGTGAGTTCGAGGTCAGCCTGGGCTACAAAGTGAGCTCAAGGCCAGCCTGAACTGCATAGCAAGACCTTGTCTCAAAAAGACCAAAAAGGGTTGGGGATGTAGCTCAGCAGCATAAGCCCTTGCCTGGCAAGCCTGAAATCACAAGTTCAATTCCCAGTACCAAAAAAAAAAAAAAATTATGAAGATCAAAAAGACCAAAAATAAATAAATAAATAAATAAATAAATAAATAAATAAATAAAAAAGAGAGAAAGAGATAACGGCCAAATTATCCACTGAGTTTCACCAGTTGCAGTACTGACCCCCACCTGCTCCTAGTGCTTCCAGCTTATACCCTATGGCCCTGCCACCCCCATACACGCAACACTATAGATGAACCCAGAGTCAGCCAATCAAAGAGGAGTATTCAATTTTCATTGAAATTGGTGTCAGCCAGAACTCTGAACTGTTAACTTGAAATCTTAACCCACTTTTGAGGTCAGGATAACAAATGCATTAAGAGCTGAGAACATCCACAAAAGGACTAGCAAAATCTCTTTCCTTCAGAAAATAGTTTTTAGAAGGCAAAGTGGTTAACTGCTTCTACGTTAGGGCATCTGACCCTGCACACAGTCTCATATATACACACACATACATGAGCCCAAATGCAAACTCTGGGTCCTGAAGGTCAAGTCTGGATAGTCTCATTGAGAATCTAGCCAGCCACCCTGCACCCCACAGCCATGCAGCACCAGAAGATGTCCTCAGAACAGGCAACTCAGGGAGTACAGCCTAGCCCAAAGGCTGGGGCACATCACACCACACAAACGCCCTAGAAAAGCTCACAAGGGAGTCCTGTGGCACACACTGTGCCAGAGCCCTGAAGCAGGCGATGTGCTGTCCCTTACTCACAGGGAAGCACCTCTGGCTGTGTCAGCGCCCCTTAACCTGGAATCACTCAGTGAAAATGTCTGCACCTGCTGACACTGAACCCCTCCGAGGAGGTACAGCAACCTACCCTCTCCACCTCCTCCTCCCCACCAGCTCAACCCAAACCCTGAGCGGCCCACTCCAGATGAGGAAGCTCAGTCAGTGCATTTCATCCTAATGCCCAGTGTCACAAATGCAGAAGGAGCAGCCAGCAACGTACTCAAAGCCAGCTAGCAGCAAGACAGGACCCAGGCTTTAAATGTCACCTCTGAACACTGTGTCATGATAACCACTGCCAAAGCACTCAGCTTTATGACCTGTGGGATATGGGCCTATGGCGGCGGAGGGGGGAGGGCAGTGTGGTCACCTGAAGCCTCTCACTTCTTTCTAATGAATGTGCAGGGTGTTCTATCAAGGGACCTCAGGGAAAGGATGGGTCAGGGCATGGCCTAAAGCATCCACAGTGAACCCCAGAGCTCTGCACCTTCCTACCCACTTCCCCCGGCCTATGCAGCCAATGGGAGAAAAGGCAGCACTGACCTCCACCGATCTCCCCTGCCTTGACCTCTGAGCTGATCCGAGACCAGAACAGGGACAAAGTGGACAGCATGGCACACCCAGTCAGCCAACCACCATTTGAGACAGGCCATCCCTGCCACACCGCCCACAACCCACAACCCACCAGGCAGCACACACAGAGCTGGCTGGGTTTGCCAGTATAAACTCAGTTCAAATCCAGACACGGAGCTCACAGGCGCAAGCACGGAGGCCAGATACTTCCCACTTCAAAACTAAAACTCAGGCTTCTCTAGAAAGGCAATTGCCTTTCAACTATGAATTGTTCCATATCAACCACATGTCAGAGAACCTCTCCTGCTGCAACCTCCAGCTAGCAGAGCGAAGGGACCGCCACCGACTCCAACCTTGGGGCACTTCAGGCTGCTCAGGGCTGGAGCATTTCAGACCTATAGCAGCACAGCCTTGGTGACAGCCCATTTCCCCCTTAGGTTATCACTGTCCTTACCCCCTTTCTTGGTCACCAGCAGGACACAGCCCAGGCCACCTAAATGAAAGCTTATGACTCCAAACCTGAGATGAACTACAGTACCTATGTCACCAAAATAAGAAAACACTGTGAGGCCATGCGTTTTCATAAAAATTATTCAACCAACTTTCACAGTGATACTACAACACTGTGTCAGTCAGAATGTGTATAACTCCTAGCATAAATAAAAATACAAATAATCTCATGGTTCAAAAATAATGGCCTACATAAATTTTGATAAATTTTCCAGAACTGTGTGGTACTCTCCCTGTCACCAGTGCTGGATGGCAGTGAGGTAGAAACATGCTGCTGAGCCACCTCCTGGGGGGCTGAGCACCACTCTGCCCACAAACCCTGTGCCCACTCAGAACAGCCAGGCACATAGGCCATGAGCCCCAGGACAGGCAAGGACAGTCTCAGCTAAGCACACAGAGATTCACACCATGGAACTGAAAGCACCAGCATATATCTTCCTCCAGAAATCTGAACTGCTAGTATGTGGAGAACAACGAAATTCCTGGCTTTATACAGAAGTCCTCTAGATGGTAGAGTGATTATATAGAATGTGTGCTAAAGAATTTAAGACACAATGTAATGATTTCAGGTATAATGGTTAACAACCCTGGACACAGTGGTGCACACCTGTAATCCAAGCTACTTAAGAGACTGAGACAGGAGGATTACAAATTTGAGGCCAGCTTAGGCAACAAGAAGAAACTCCGTTTCAAAATAAACATAAGGACTGAGGATATAGCTCAGTGGTAGAGCATATGCCAAGATCCACGAGGTCTTGGGTTCAATTCCTGGTTAAAAAGAGGAGGATGGGTAACAACAACACAAATGCATGCATATATAAAATCAGGAATACAAGAGACCCTACCGAAAGGCTAATAAAGAAAACAAACCAGACAACTCAAAGGAAATGATCAAGTTCCAAGAAAGACACAAATTCAAGATCTAAGAAAAGAAAACACTGGGCACACATGGCTTGATTAGTGAATTCTCACAAACATTTAAGGATAAAATAATACCAGCCTAAACATACTCTAAGAAAACAGAAGAGGAAACAGTTCCCAGCTGGTTATACAAGGCTAGTATCATGCTGATAGGAAGCCAAGACCCCAACAGAAATCCATAAATCAATCCCTCTCAAAAATGTATACACAGGCTATTGCGGCTTTCTCTATGATAGCTGCCCTGTATCCTCCAGGGTGTACTTTTATTTTGCTTTTTCCTCTTTTATTTGGCCCAAGCTCACTTTGCTAAACCAGTTTCTAACCCATCACTTTCCCTTTTTCAAATAAACTTTTTTTTTTTTTTGGTCTTTTTTTAAGACAGGGTCTCACTATGTAGTTCAGAGTGGCCTTGAACTCACACTGTAGCCCAAGCTGGCCTTGAACTCACAGAAATCCTCCTGCCTTAACCTCCCAAGTGCTGGTATTACAGTACCACCATGCCTGGCTTCAAATAAACTTGGCTACTGAATTTTGCTCATTTCATTCAATTCTTTACTCAAGATGAGAGGAACCTGTAATCCTACTCTAGAAGGAGAGGTGAACAACCCAAAACCTGGTAACATTTAACTAGCAAGCCACTTTCAGAAGCCCTGTACATGGGCCTCTTGAGGGAACTGCAGCAGGTTTTCAATAGGATGGCCTAGACCTGATATCAGCCTGAGGTGTAGGATCCCAGCACCACTTCTCTGAACGCATATGTAGAAATTCTCTCAGGCTTCCTCGAGATTTGGACAGTATAAAAGGACACAGACATCAAGATGAGCTTGCTATCACGGCTTCCCTTATGATAGCCTGCTCTGTATCCCCCAGGACATACTTTTATCTTGCTTTTTCCTTTTTTACTCGGCCCAAGCTTGCTCTGCAGAGCCACTTTCTCTCTCACTCTTCACTTTTACTTTTTCAAATACACTTTGCCACTGCTAAAGGAAAAAAGAATGTAGACATAATGCTGGGCATGCCTGTGATTCCAGCACTTAAGAGGCTGAGGCAGGAGGATTGCAAATTCAAGGCCATCTTAAACTCCATAGCATGACCCTGTCTCAAAAAACCAAAAGAGGAGAAAAAAAAGACAGATGTCAAAACCCTTAACAAAGTCAAACATGGTGGTACACACCTGTAACACTAGCTCTATGGTAGCCTGAGCCTTGCAAGTTTGGTCAACTTAGCAAGAACTTGTCTCAAAAAAAATAAAAGAAGAAGTAGGGATATAGCTCAACGTGAAGGCCCTAGATTCAATCCCCATTACCATGGAGGGGCACAGCGTTAACAAACATTAGCAACATGAAGCTAACAACACATTAAAAAGATTTTATAAGGCCAGGTGTAGTGGCTCACGCCTGTAATCCCAGCACTCAGGAGGCTGAAGCAGGAGGATCGCTGCGAGTTTGAGTTCAGCCTGGGCTACAAAGTGAGTTCAAGACCAGCCTGAACTG